TGTTTGTCTGGTGTTATTGCTGCTGCTGTCTACATATATACAGTGAAAGTGATAGAGCTTCAAAATTGTATTTATTGGTTGTTGATCAGCTGTTGATCAGTGATTTGTGAATGAGGTTGTACAGAAGGAAAGAACTAGAATACTGTAGGCCTTGTAGGCTGTGTTTTTCATGCACTGTAGATGACAGTGTATTTGATCGCATACATCGCATGATAGCTAACGTCTCTGTCTGTGGATGTTTTTAGTGTCTAGTAATCATCTGTACCCAGTTGGCTCACTGTATATGGAGCTAAAATGATTAAGCGACTGACAGAAAATTTATCATAGCAACTATTTTAAAATTTTTTCAAGAAAAAACATTACTCATTCCAACTGCTGCTCCAAGTGTTTTGAGGATTTGTTGCTATTCTTTGTCATACATAATAGTTAAAGTCAATATTTTCGAGGTTTGGACAAGTAGTCAAACAAAATAATTGTTAGTTGCAGACTTATGTTTGCAAGAGGATACATAAGCAACACATGATATTTTTCTTCTTGATGCAAACCTAAATCTGTTCTCTAAATTTTGCTGTTCAATGTTTGTCATACACCGCGACCGCTTTGTTGGTAAAATGCCTCTTCCTACTCTACACTTTATTTCTTTAGGTGACCTATCTGCTAAAAGGAGTTTGTTCAACTGGCCCCTCATAAAATAACAGCTGGCCCTATTCCCTGTAGTTAAATGTGCCAGTACTGCCACACTGCTTATTCTCTCAATATGTTGTACAATTTACCCTCTGGACCCACATAAAGATTTGATATTACAGTACACTTACAATATATATTATGAAAGATCTCCATGAATACAGTTTGAATAAGTTTTTCCTTTCATCTTGCATCTTTGTAGTCCAGTCTAGTTTATGTTTGGGTTCCCACAGAGGACCAGATGACCGGTTTCCAGGACAACAATCCTTTTCACCTCGAAAGGGCCCCTCCTTTTATTGTATTAGGGAGGATTGCACTTGAGTGTCAAGAGTGCTCTCCTGCCTGCACATATTGATCTGGCAGAAATTCCTTATTTGCACACTGAGCAGACATTTATTTGTGAATGAGGAGCAGTCTTGCAGCATTTCTTTAGATTTTGTCCCTGAGTATTTTAAGCTTTATTGTGATTTTCTTTTTTGTGTTTCTAAAAGTGATCCTATACGCAATATGTCCTTTTTATTCAGACAAAGAATAAGGAGGAAAACTGAGAAATTGGATGCTATTCTGTATTCACAGTGTATTTTGGCTGTTGAGTGAGATTTCAGCAGAGAGCAAATAGAGTCCTCACTTCAAAGTCTGGACATATGATCTTTGATGATGTGTCTTTGATCAGCATCATCTCTGGAGTTATTTGCTCACTGACCTGAAAGGGGAAAGCCAAACTGCTGTATGAGTGTGGTTCTGTAGCTGGTGTGGGTCCTAAAGGTAGAATAAAATTATATTTGTGGGTCTGATTTGCTTCTCTATTTTTGTCTAACAGCATACAACTCACATGGGAAATGGTTGTGGTTGGGAGGAGGATGGAGAGGTCTTTGAAAGAAAATTTCACTTTGAAGTCTTATCCACAGCAAGGCTCCATCTATCTCTTCCATATCCCCGTGTATTTTCTGGACTCTACAGGCCACTGACACAAGGTTTAAAATATGATTTTGCTTTTTAAGGTATAAACATTGACGTCATGTTGTAAAATTTTGTATTTTTGTAATGCATCAAGGTACTTTGATGCATTAAAAGTATGATTGTATGATACATTATGCAAACATAAGTTAGAGAGCATTCTGACTGAAATCAGCCCTGCGTTAAGACAACGTTAAGGGACTGTGTTGGTGGCGGGGTATTGTTTGAGATACAGGTAGGACGATGAAATACAATCCTAGAAGTCCAGTTGAGGAATACATTTCTGAGTTTGAAGGCTTATCAGACACCAAAACACTCTCACACTACAAGGAATGTGTGCTTGCATGTGTTTGCATCAGCACCTGTGCTGCAGTCCCATTCAGATGAATGAGGGGCTGAGTTTTTTTATGTAGTGAAGTTGCAGTGAGCACTGTAATCTTTGTTTATTTTAGCATGTGGACTGTGATGGGTTCAGTACTGCTGTTAGTGTGGCAATGCATGGTGACCTTGCCTCATACAACACCCTCCTTACTCTCACCAAATTGAGTATTCATTGTTTTTCTAATGGGCAAATGTTTTTTGAAGGCAATGCCAAACAACATATTTTAGACTGTAAGGACCAACCAGTTATCAAGAAATTGTAAAACAGGCATATTCAGACCTTCTGATGAGCTGTGATCTCGATGTATTCTTGTAAAAGTGTCCTTTCAAGGTCAGGTATCGCCACTCTGTGTCAAGCTGTGTCTGTTTTTAATTCTGCTGGTAAGTCAAATATAAATATACTATTCAGCACCATCTCCTCCTCCCACTGTGCAGTTAAAATGAAAGAAAAACACAATTGTTTACTGTGTTTAATGTGATGGTTTACACTCTCACTCATTTCAATTAAGCTGGTCAGGTTGCATTGAATGATCTATGAGAATAACAAGCCAAAATAAATCAAGCTAGGTACGTGTTAATGTTGTGTAGATTAAACCGTGTGAACTGTAATGAGCAGTAAAATTGAATTGATACACATGAATAATCCAGGCATTTTCTGCCATGCGGGTATCTTGTTAATTTAAATTTTAAAACTGCATAGCAAAATATGAGGGACAGCATAATTGGTCGTACCCTCTTTGTGTAAACTTACAACAGTTACAGTATTTCTGTTTAACAAGTCTTGTATATCTTCTTAATAAGCAACCAGCAGCTCCATTTTCCCAACCGATTCATCCCGGCTCCATCATTATGAGGCGGCTAAGAAAAGTGCCCATGTGTTCATTATACCCAGTAATAATGAACAAGAGGCCTCTAGCCTCCCAGACATGCAATATACATTTTAGGTGTCACCCCACTGCTGTTAAAGAGCTTTCAGCGCTCCTCTCCAAAGATGAAGAGTGTTTCTGTATGACTGAACTCTGTTGTGGGCTCCTGTCAGCTCTTTCTAAATGCTAATTAACATGCCTGTTATTCAGGCCCAGACCATCTGTGGAGCACCACCAATCACAGCAGAATAATTGTTGCCTCTTCGACTACTTTGCTGCAGCAGGGAGCACAAAAGAAATTGAAAAAAGCTCAAGAAAAAAAGCTTCAGTCCATTACCATGTAAGTCAGGGGAAGAAGAAGAAGAAGACGAAGAAGACGAAGAAGACGAAGAAGAAGAAGAAGAAGAAGAAGAAGAAATCACTCTTTTAATATCTGTGTGAGCGCTTTTACCCTCTCAGCAGTGCTTAAATTCTGTATAGTTATTTTTAAGACTTTAACATCATCATAATTAATGTAATGTTTTTTTTTTTAAACCTTAATTTATAATTTAGCAAATAGAGCAGCTGGACCATATATATAGTTTTCCAGTACACTCTGTTAATTGGCATTATCTTTACTGAGAGAATTCACTGATTAGTGTCTGGATGAACCCTGCGCTCTGCCCTGAGTGACGCCAAAGATGAGCACCAGGAGATAAGACAAGCAGCGATAGAGCTGACATGGACTGAGCTGATTGACAACCTTAAACTCTGAGGGCTTAGTGAGTGTACATGATAAACAATGTCCCTGTAATGTTACATAAACCCAAACAAACCATTTAATGATAAAACAAAGATATATATATAGGACATTATACAATGTAGTAGTTTGTTGTAATAGCGATAGAAAAAATTTAATTTCTCCATTGTCTAGAGGAAGCAAGGCACCTTTAAAAACTATAAAACAATCAGATAAAACTATATACTCAGTACAAAATATAGTAATGTCTGCTGTGAAAAGGTTTATTACAGGTATTGTAAGAGGTATAGTTTTTCAGTGATTGCATTAGCAGATTTAGGACTGTATGTAATATTTCTGTTGCATCCTCGTTGTTATAGAGTATTTGTCAAATCTTGCCCAAAGATATTTCGAGCTTTTTCTCAGATGTGAAATCTTTTGTATTGACAACCTGAATAACAGTGTACAACAGTTTAAAAATGTTAAATGTAGCCTACCTGGGATGAAATAGTATGTTAATAACTGATTCTGCAATATTTAGGAGGAAATATATTCTATATATATATTATACTCAACACTTTCATTAGTGTATAGTCACCTGAAAATAAGAATAGTTATGTTTTCATTACCCTAGAATGAGATGTTTTTAACTACAGATGCTGCAGGTTGCCTTGTGTCTACAGTAGCCCTGAAGGGACAAATACTGGCTCTAGATAGGGCCATTAGCATTTTTTTGTGCGTTTCACAGCCACTGTAGTTTCTCCCTTGTGGCTGGAAAGGGAGGGTGAAATGAGTGAGTAGCTATGTGCAACTACACCACTAGATGCCACTAAATCCTACACACTGGACCTTTAAATACCCCTTGCATTGAACAGGTGCAACACAATTAGAAACTTGCTACATCCTCGCAATTTTGATCCTATTTCAGTCTCCACCGGACACAGTGTGTATGTGTGTGTCGAAAGGAGAAATGGTGTGACCCACAAAAGTACTGCAACACAATCCATTCCCATTGTATGTGAAACCAAACTTTCCCATTAGGTGATAAGGAGGAGGAGTTACAGCAATTGTTCTGGAGAAAAGATCTTGTGATTTTTGCCTAGAGCAGAATCCATTCACTTTTATGGAGACGAAGATAATTCAGTTAATTTCAGAAACACCCAGACGTCTTCATGAGTTTCTCTGTAACTGATACACCAAGCACACCCATTAAATCCTCTGTTATGCATGATAAGAGAATGTCTGTGTCTTGTTGGAGGAGATAACTGAGACAACATGCAGAGCTGTAATATACTTACGGCTCTCTTTTCTTCACTTATGGGTGTGGTGCCTTTTGCCTATCTGAAGCTGCTGGACACTTGTAAGATGTAATGTGGTGTCACATTCCTCTCAATTCTCCAAAGGCCAGTCAAGGAACCATGAAATCAGCAGAGACAAGTTTGGCCGAAAGGGAGTGTAACAAGAATCCTCCCGACCAAGCAGACTTCTCTGCCTTTCCAGGTTCTTTTTGTTGACGTTGCTTTATGTGTTAGCTGCATGGCTCTAGCAAAGTCAGTACTGGTTGGTTGGTCCAGACTAAAATATCTCGACAACTGTTGGTTGGATTGAAAATACATTTTGCACGGACAGTCATGGTCCCTTCAGGAAGAGACTTCACAAGACTTTGTGATGACATGTTATGCTAAAAGTACTTTCCTTTATGTTGCTTTTTCGCCATTGTTTAGATGCTTTGCCAACCGTGGTCTAACACTGCAAATGTAGTGATGCATCGAAATGTCTAATTTATTTCTGATAGTCTGACAAGTTTTGAGAATGAAACACAGTTTTGAGCATGATTGCAAATAGGACCACCGATTTCTAACACAGCATCCAACCAATGGAGAAAAACTGTAACCTAAATGTATAAATGTCTTTTGGCCTGCAAATCACCAAAGAAATGCACTACTGAATACCTTGGATTATGTCTGTTAACTTACAATGTACTTCAGTCCTGATAAGTGACTAGATAAGTGGTTTTCTACTGTGGAAACTTGAAATCTCCATTTGAATCTGCCATAATTGACATGTATTTAAGTCAGGAACAGACACTGTTCTCTAGATAAGAGTGCCATTTTTACCCTTTTTAACCTTCAGGTTGATTCTCAAGATAGGTTTGAGGTAAATGTATAATTGTTCACTTAAATATCCATTATCCAAGTTGTGCAAAGGTTAGACAGAAAATAAACAGCACTTCACCATCTGACAAATTGGTTACATTGTGTTTCATGTCAAAAGCAAAGTATTACCAGTGAAAGATCAACATTAAGCCATAAATAATCTAGTAAACATAAATATAAAATCCATAAGGGCAAAATGATAAAGAGTTAGGTTCAGACTATACAGTATTTTTTTCTATTAAAATGGTAATCACCATAACTTTGGTCAAGAGATGTCGGTCCCCAACTAATTGCTGTTTTTCACAAACTGTGAAGGAGGTCAACAATCAGTGGCTGTTTGCAAAAAGCCTAAAAAAAAAAATTACTGTGACCTTCCCTCTAACGTTTGCTACTAGCGACACAACTTTCAACTGACTCCACATCTTGTGCACTATATTAACTGAGTGTCTGAATTCTGAATGTCAAAAAGTACCCACTAAATAGTGCCCTAAAAAGAAATCCACAATGGACGGAAAAAGCAGCGTCCATGGCATGGTGACGCAAAATGATGATCAGAAAGTGTCCAAAATCTAATTTTACTGGTCACTATTGAGTTAACTGTTTAGTGTCTAAATAGAGTTTAGTGGGCAAGGTAGTGGTTTCAGGCACAACCAACTTATTATATTGGGAACCTGGAGTTCTCCTCTGTCATCTCACTTGTAGAAACATGGCCTCTCATCTAGAAGCAACACATTATTTGTAGTATAGATCTTTTCACAGCAGTCATATTGATGATGCCAATCAGGCATCAAAACAAGCATTTTTGATAGTGCTTCCAAAGTTGAAAAATACTTCCTGCCCTGCATATATACATACGTAACGTCATGTGCAAACAGCTTATAACAGCACCCTGACTCGTTGACGTTTTACGTGAATGGAACAAAGCCTTAATTAGTATCATTGGTGTGTTTGGAGAGATGACTGTGGGATGACTATGATGACTTCTTGATTTATCTGCCTCAAGGGATTTTCACAAAGGTGAAATATAGCAAAAACAGCTTATTCTGTATAAATGACTTTGCATGGCTTATTCAGATTGCAGTTAGATGTCCACCAGTTATAATATGGCTTTATGATGTTTGGTAAACAAAGAATAGAATAATATTGTCCTACACTCTCTGTCACACCACTAGTTGTGATTTAGTTCCTCTCAAGAAGGTTATTGGAGGGTAATGAGCCTGTTGGTGACAGATCTGGGCTACGTCTGCTCCTACGGGAGGTGACAGGCCTTGAGATGTTCGAAAAGAGGTTGTACAGTATCCCACAGGCGAGGTCCTGGGGTCAGCACCCAGCCTTACAGGATTAACACACCTGCCACTGGGACAATGAGGTCTAATGAGCGTACACTGGCAGCCCCAGTCTGTTAGCAGCAGGCCAAGTGCTCTCTGAGTGGCTCACACCTCAGTGCCGGGATTGAAGTCCTGGCTTTCAAGTCAATACCTTCATTAGTGACTTCATGGCAGATCACTCTGAGGCCGAACAAAGGCTCCCAGGAACACAAAGTGACACATTCCAGGGATTAGAGAACGCTGGCAGGTTGTGCCATTAAAATGTATTTTCTTGACATGCAAGGAATTTGCTTTGACAACAGGAAAATAATACATTTCAGTGTAATTAATTGACAAGGTAATATATTAGACATTAAATTGTTTAAATTAGACTCAAAATGTCTTTTACAGTCTATGTGTTTATTGCTGTGGATATACTGTTGAATTTTGTCCCTTCATCAGCGTAACGCTTGAGGTTGTTTTGCCTATATAATACATCAGTTAGCCAGGTGACTTTACCATAATCATCTTTTAAGAACACAAAATACATTATTTACCCTTAATAGATACAAATGTTTACAAGAAAAGTATAAATGACAGTAAATACAAAATATCCAATTTACAAATTACTATATTTCATCTTAATAATTAATAATAATAATAATAATTAATTGCTGAGAGTTATTCCCAGGCCGTTAAATACCAACACTTTGTCTTGGTGAGTCTGAATACTATCGTATTGTGTGGGTTACCCTGAGCCACTTTGTTTCCCATTTACTGTAACCCGAAAGAGTCGGTATTTGGCGACCTGGCAATGAGACTGACCCCATCTTTTAAATTTTGCATGTTAGCGCATAGGCATTAACTCTCAGTGCCACAGAATAAGAGAATGCTTTCCCCATTGATGAATTTACAGGCTTCCTTTTTTTACAGTAGAGAAAACCAGGGAGAGAGAGACATGCCGTGAAGATTCCCAGACGGTATTGAACTGGTTATACTGAATGGTTGACATTGGCCCATTTTCCCCTTCATAGTTTGAGTCTTAACTTTTACATCATTTTCAGGAACACAAATAGGCAGTAGTCTAATATACATGGTGTGCCGATAAATAATTTTTTAAGGCAACATTAAGAAGAGTATTTTCGCTCTCATTATCCCACCTTCGCGAGCTGTGTCATTGTTTTTTGCATAGAAACACAGCTTTGCATCTGGCTGCATTAAGAAATTCTGAGTTATTTCTAGTAATGCTGACCAGTAATCCAGGTATCGCACAATGCTTCCTTTTAATTTTTACCCGCTGCCAAGATAACTAATGGAGATATTTCCAAGACGTGCAGTATTCAGAGTTGCCCTAATCAGGTTAGAACTGAAGTATCAGCATTTATGTAAACACACCACCAGCTGACAAGTGAAAGGGTCTTCTGATGTCAGGATGTCCTTGGAAAGAGTCTCACAGCTCACAGAATTAACTAAGGTGACATAATGATTTAGTGGCTGCCCAGAGACCTCTGCTACCACCATATGCAACCCTCTGCTCTGTCCATGAAGAGCCAGAGTTGGGGAGTCCTGCTGCTTAAAGTGTGCTTCCTTCGACTCCCACTGCCCTACTGCTCACCTTCACGACCCCCTCAGCAGAGAGAGTCAGATGGCAGCGATGCTTCAGTAACTTTAACCTCTGATAACATGACCTCTGAACTCTTTGATGACCTCAGAACAAAGACTGAGACATCCTCTTTGTTGGGGCCTGGCATGTTTTTGTTAGCGTGCACAGCGATGTGAGTTGTGCATGCTTACGTACATGCCAGGAAGTTGTAATAAAAGACTTGGAAATACTTTCATAGTAACAGAGACAAGAAGCTCATACCAGAGAGAAAAATGTTAAAACTTATGAATGACATTTCTCAAAACCTTTTTTGTCTCTTTAATTAGGCCAGCTCAGCAAAAAGCTTTAGAGAAGGACACTTCAGATTCCTGAATTTCCTCTCAAGTGGCTCCAGAGTTCTGGGGACACTCAAACATAATCAAAACTTGACATTTATGCAACCCCATTCAGCGATGTGGGAAACATTCCACACAGACTTCACCTCTGAAACAAAACACAAGGAATGTGCTCATGCTTTCCTCTGAGAATACTGTACATAGTATTACAGTCACTTGTCGCATTTGAGATCAAGAGTTTTTTCAGGTCAGGCTAATTTATGTTCCGGTGTAACAAAGTGGCAAATGAAAAGAGTGCCACATGAGAGAGAGGAGCACAGAGGAGAGTGCTGCTGTGTGTGTCAAGAGCAGGAAGGCTGCCATTCACAGGGTGTGTAATACAGTACTTCCCCTTGTTTGACAATGATGCTGTCCTAAATTCAAATAACAAAGACACTTAAGGTGGCTTGTACGTGTGTGTTCTTGTTCGTCTATCTTTGTGAGGACCATTTTGAGTTTCAGGCCTTATCACTAGCTGCGGTTATGTGCACACTTTTTTTTCTCCATTCTGATAGAAGATTTTGGGTTTCCATGGGATTTGATCTAATATGGTCTGGTATTTACATGTGCTAATGCATTTAAACGGAACAGCTGTGTGACATTGGCTAAAGTGACGAATTTGTCCATGCTTTTGTACAACGGGAAGTTGGTGGGGTCGGATCCACTTTTGTTGTTTTAGTCTTTTTCTGGGTCGAGTCTCTTCAGCCTAGCTGCTCCCAGGTGCTTTTCAGTCTTAAAAAAAACAAATACTGAACATGACATCATGATGTGACTTCAGGTGCGGTTGTGGCGGTGGCGTTATACCCTGAAACCAGGATACTTTGTAAAAATCTCATACTGTTGCAACGACAGTCACTGCAAGTATTAACAAGTTAACAAGAGTTATTTCTATGCTACTCTGTATCTTGGTGGCAAAAACAACAATAAATATAATTAAAGGGCAATCTGGCAGCTTTGAAATAACTAGGTTATTGAAATTATTATGTTCTTTTACTTAAGTAATTTCTTGACACAGTTTGTCACTTTTCAAGAACAGACACAAAAGAAATTTCAAAGTTAAGATTTACCATTGTTTGATCTGAAGAGCGAAAAAAAACTTTTGACAGTAGGTGGTTCCAAGCTGCTGACAGAATGGAGAGATTTGTCTCGCTTTGGAGGTAATAATGTAATTCCAGCTGTGAGGAGCAGTTGGTTTCTGTAGGTCACACCTGCTGTTCTGGCAGTAGATTAACACAGCAGTACGTTTAGCCTGCGTGTTATGGATAACATCTGTGAATGCAATAATTCACAACCAAATGTGACGTGAAACTTCCTTTCACTGAGAGGAACCTAGAATATTTCTATAATAGAGCTGGAATGATGAGTCAATTAGTATTTGATAAATAAATCAATATTCAAATAGTCATTTTTCAAGAAAAAAAGCATTCCTACACTATTTTCCTTCTTCCATTGTGAGAATTTGCTCATCATTGTATACTGAATATACTGAGGGTTTTTTTGGTCACATTTTGTACATTGAACGATAAATCGATAATGGAAAAAATCATGACATGTTCATGAGGATCCTGAATCAAAGTGATTTATGGATTTGCCGAAACTCACCACCCTCAGTCTGCGTCATGTAAGACACATCTTGTCTGCACTCAGACCATTTCCCTTTCTGTCCCCTTCTTAAAGAAAGCTCTCTCCAAGACCTCAGCTGCAAAGCAAGACAAAAACAACAACAGACACATCACAGCCACTGGAAATCAGCAGATGTAGACACAACATGAGCAGCCTGGAGCACTTTCGCTAAGCAGCTTTCTGCTGCACTGCAAGCGCTTAAAATTGTCCCTTAATCACAAAAAACCTAACATGGTTCCAGTTCCTTGACGAAGTTTATCCATCTGGACTGTCATGGTATTTCAGTACCTTGTAGCTGGAATAACATACGAAGAGCTTGCCCTCACTATCGTTTTGCACCATCACAAACTTGCAAAAGTACACATATTCTTAAAAAGACTGCAGTAAGTAGAAGTACTGATTCAACTCAAGTGAAAGTGAAAAAGTACAGGGTAGTTTAAAGTAGTCTCCCTCGCTTATCTGTTGCGTCTTTTATATTTGAAAGGCATGCAATGATAAAATAAAAAACAATAATTCTCCTTTTAAATGCATTAAAACTGAAGTCAATTTAGAGAAGACGTTGGCTGCCATTTTGATCTCGTGGACACAATTCTCCCTCTCACCCATTGTTTAACACATAAAAGTGTGAAAACTGTTATAACAGCTGATGTCTCTTTCTGCAGCTGATTTATCAATGGCGCAGTGTTGGGACATCAAACATTGTAAAACAAAGATTTGAAGGCAAAAAAGCACATTCAATTAAATATGTTCATATTTTAACATTCGGATTTAAAGGCACTGATTCAGTCCGTACTCTGAGAAAGAAACTGTAAAATGTTTTGAAGCAAATCAGAATATTGTACTGTAATAACAAACATCTGTTAATATCAAGAGTTACAGCTTTTTTTTAATGCATAAGACTCACGTTTCGTTCCCAGCTGTGTGTCTGCGTCATTGTTTAAACTTTGAAACTGTGCATCTAATGCTTTGTTTTTTGTTTTGCTAATAATTTGAATAGAAGCTTGAAACAAATGTCTGGATTACTTCACATTATAGTGATTATAAGAAGCTGCATATCAATAATTTTGAAATGACAAACATAAAGACTGAGTACAGGAGTGAAAATATCATTGTGATACTAAACAATGCAAACTCACATCTGTGTAACATAGTACACTGGGAACACAGGCTTTACCCCAAATAATCCTCCAATATTCACACATTAATGAGAGTTATGTAACATTTTCTTTGCTGCTGTGTCACACAGTCACTGTATATGCTGAGAAACCACTTTGCTCATCTTTTATTCTTCCTGTGGTTTTGAATAATTCAATACCCCTATCAAGTAAGTATGCAACTCCTGGGACACAGGTTGTAATGTATACTTTTGGGTTGTCTTGTGTATCACTGTGTTCAGTAATAAAGCAGCACACTGACGGGTTTATCAAAGGAGGCCCCTTAACACTCTTTATAATGCTGTTTTTATTTTTTATTTTTTTTATTCTCTAGTGTTGAGCCTGGCAGTAAATAACCTACTATATTTTCTGTCCTCGCCCTAGATTGAAGGTGTTTTTTAGTGGCTGCAGAGGACAGCAGGGATGTCACGTACTGTACTTTACTGTACCACACTGCATATATACAGAGCATTTCTGTTTATGTGAAAGGCCTTGGATGATGTTTCAGGGCTACAAATTAAACTCAGGATTTGTATATAGGCCACAGTAAAACAAATCTGCCATGTTTCACGCTACAAAGCTGAAAACTGAATAAACATTTTTGACAATATATGTAGGTCTCTGATTACCTAATTTACAATTACCTAGAATTAACCAGTTTCTGGAAAAAGCTTTAGTACACAGTAAGAGCAGACCAGACAACATTGACAGTTATTGGAGGCACGCTTTTTTGGCAAGTTTTTCTCCTCCAATATCGATACTTTAACTAAGCAGCGCTCTCTTTCTACCACATTTAAAATCCACAATATGCTACACTGTGTGGAACTCATCTGAATCACTTTTATGTAAAGTACCAGGGGTCGCTGTGGCACTGAGCATTGACTTGGAGGCCCACTGTGACTGAATGAATACAGATTTTTATGACATTGAAACAAAGTATTCAAGTACTCAAACAAACTATATTTAATGTGGATCAGTCTTAGGCCAGTATCAGCTCCAATACTAATCTGGCATAGATGATTGGTGCATCCGTAGTTATCAATGTCGTTGCAGGGTAAAGGTATTGATTGGTTAGCAGCATCTTGAGATTTGTTATTCTTGGCAGAATCTTTAATCTAGCAGAAAACATAGTTTATCAGTGATGTGACATATCAACAGATCTTCAAGTATACCACAGATATTATGTGACACAGCTCATTGGATGTCAGGGCTGAGACGGAGTGAAGGGAAAGTAGACATTCTTCTTCTTGACCTCGCAGAATTATCCTCCCTCCATGACTGCTTTCAAAGTTCATTGGACCATTACGCACAAATATCAAACCTACCGCTAAGAATCTTGGTATCATCTTTGAGCAGTATATGACTTTTGATATTACAAAACTTCCAGTCCTGTGTTCTTCAGCTATGACATATTGCAAAAGTCAGATGCTGCTTGTCTTCCAGAGATCTCAAACTATTAATTCACACCTTCAATTACCCTGTCTAGATTACTCTAATTCCGTCTACACGTGCCTCAGTCAAGCTTCTTTAAATCGTTCACTTAGTCCAAAATGCAGCCACCAGACTTTTAACCAGAACCAGCAGTCGGTCAAACATCACCCCAGTTCTCGTATTGCTCCATTGGCTTCCTGTCCCGAGGACCACTCTGCTCCTAAAATCTTGGCCTTTTATCCATCCGCCTGCTTTTTTTATTTTTTATACAGTATATCTCCTTTCCTGTGCTTATTTACTTATGTTTGTTGTATCTCTTTTTTAACTTATTCTTTTCCTCTTGTTTATTTAATCATATGTTCAACGCATGTCATGAAGACCTTTGAAAGACTGGTTCTGCAGCACCTCAGGCCAACGACTGCCTGGACCCACCGTGAGCTCTGTGAGGATCATCTCTGACTTCTCCAGCTCTTTCGACATTGGCCTCTCTGGCTGGCAGAGGAGCGCTCTGTGATGCAACGATACTGTCACCATTTCTGTTCACCCTCTACACCTCTGACGTTTGCTTCAACTTACGAACGTGCCACCTACAGAAGTTCTTTGAAGAACATCCAAGAACTTCTCAGGAGCACTTCCAGTCACTAATCCAGCCCTGTGCATCAAAGCCCTTGGGAGGCTCATTTGTGCCATCAGACATCTGACTCCACAACGCCACCGCATGCAGTACTTCCCACTTCCACTGAGACTACCTGTCAAGAACAACTTTCTTTTTTATGCACAATACCTTGAAACATTGCACATGTAGATTATTGCTTTATTGTATATTTTTTATTTTATTTTATTTTATTTTTATCCTTTTCTGCTCTTTGCACTACATATCCCCATGTGCCGAATTTGAATTTCCCCTACTGGGGATCAATAGGGTGACATTTTATTTTATCTTATGTTAGTTTTTATGTTTTGTTTTTTATGTATGTGTATGATTCCGTATGTATGTGTATGTATATATCTAAATGTATGTATGTGTGTAGATATCTATATGGATGTATACGTGTATGTATGTGCGTGTTTATATTTTTGTTTGTGAAGCACTTTGTAACTGGATTGTGTTGTATAAATAAAGCTTTACTTAAAGAATTACAGTCTGCAGATTGCATGACTGTGTGTAATTAAATGGAAAGTAATCTCAATAAAATGATTATTAAGTAATAAAGAGGTCTGACCAAAACCTCCAAACAAATAATTGCTAAGCTGGCATGAAAATTGTCTTTACATAAGAGTTGTTCCTGATGCTTTGTGGATTTGAAGATTTTGTTTTTACCCCACCAGCAAATCTGCGCCTTCCTGTTGTCAAACTGTGGCAGACGGACTGTGCAGGGATTCAGACGACGTCAAAGACTTAAACTGGCCTTTACTGTGTTCTGTTTTCATTTGGGGGAAATTAAGGGTGAAACCTTGTTTTTCTTCAGTAGCTGGCAGATACAATGTGGAGGCTGCTGTCCCAAAACTCTGAATGACTCATATGAAATACCCTGATGTTCAACAGTACTCCTCCTGCATTAAGGAATATAATCATCTGGGGGAATAAAGCCCTCATAGTCTGTGTCTGTGTATAAAACGTCACTTCTTATCCTCTATTTTGACTTCAGATATTATTATGACTTCATGATTCACAGCAAAGAGGTTTTCTTTATCGCTCAGTGTCTGGGTCACAGTGAAAGCTGAGATGTTACTCACAGAATAATCCCAGAGACCTTTGACTTTGTGCTTGGCTGCTATCTGAGGTGTGTACTGGCATGGCAGGGATTGTGGAAATCATCTGTTTGCTGTATATCACAGAGTGAATTTGGCATATTTCATACATTCATCTCATGTCATCTCTTAACTTGCACCTGCAGTACGTTTCAGGGTTTTTTTACATCAGGTTTGGGGTTGTTGTAAAGAGGAACAAATGAACTCAAGCTTCAAAAACAGCCTTTATTTGTGTTTGTTTGTCAAAACAACTTTCTTGGTGAGATTATTACCCCAATAATAAGTATCATATTCCCTTTTTAACTAGTTTTATAAAAGGGTTTTTATAAAAATATAGTAATTTATGGGGATTATCGTGGTGCCATACAAATGTAAATCCAGTTTAAACTCACTATCATCCATGTAGAAATATAGTGAATTTTTGTTTGTTTCAGAGTCTTTATGATCCCTGAGACAAGTTCATTCGTTTATGAGTTTAAAAAATGATTAACAGTCAGATGAGTGTCCTTCTTGGAAAAAACCTTAAACCAGTGACTCCCACACAGGGTGGCTGTCTGAGTCCTGGCTGTGCAGAGAACTTAAGCCGGTGTCTGAGTCGTCGTCGTTCACACACTGAGTTTTTGACAGACCCCTGGCCTGCTCCACCCACTCGATCTTCCTCTCCAAAGTGCTCATCATCCCTGTCTTATCATCTGTCCCGTAGCTACATGTCTCCTCGCTGGCCGCCCCTTCCTCTATGCCCAAAGTGTTCACTTTCTCAAGCAAATCCCTCATTTCCTTCTCCCTCGCCCCACAAATCTCCTGGGTCAGCTCTAAATCGCTCCTAATAGCTTCTAAATCCGTGTTGAGGCGCAGGCCGATGTATAAACTCGCATCTAACTGTGTTCTGATCCTCTCTCTTTCCAAAAGCAGCTCGTTTTCTGATGCGTCTGCCTCGGTGTTGAGGGCCGATGCGCCATCGCCGGGCTCCGTGTCTTTGCTCCGCAGCTCCTCTGTCCTCCGCTGCATCCAGCGGTGGTTCAGCTCCTCCTGCACCTGCATCACGAGGATGTCTGTAAGGGCTTCCTGCTCCCACAGCTCCTCTTGTAGTCTCACCACCTCCTCACACTGCCGGACATACTCTTCAAACTTGGCGAGAGTCTCAGCTGAACACAGTTTGTCTCCCTCTCGGCTGCAGGCTGCAGCAGCATCGACTAAATAAGTGTCCTGCACATAATTAACCCCGTGTCTTTTCATTCTGTCAGAATGCACCTTTGCCTCGCACCTTTCGATCTCTGCGTCCAGCTCTGTAATCCTCTGAATCTGCTGGCGGATTGTGTGATCTTGAGAAATCACAAGATGAGCCAAAGTTTCCATCTTTTCCGCAGAGGACGCGTCTCTGTGCGCCCTCTTCTTATTATTGAGCTTCTCTAACTTTCTGAAAGCTTTCCTCACAATCCGACGCTGTTTCTCAGGTGAGATGCCACTCACGGGAGACCGCGCTGTCCCCTTGGTAACACAGGGGCTGTGTTTGCTGAGCACCACACGCGCCTCTGCGCTCCGGGGTCCGTGGTTCGCCAAAGACGCCTCACTTTTCACCAACACAAACTTCACGTTCCTCTGCTCCTCTCCCCACGCGACCCAAAGTCGTAAAATCTTGGTTTTGTTCGGTAAAATCCTTTCGAAACCTCTCCATTTCTCCACGACACAGTAAGACTGTGGGCATCCAGAAGGTGAAGCCGTGGAGAGGCCGTGCTGTGAGTTTGGTTCTTCCAGAAGCACTTTGACAACATCAGCGCAGGTTGTGCGCTTTGACAAGCCGTAGATGAGCTTTTCCTCTCGGCAGACCCACACTGATATCTTACCCTCCTCCGACTCCATCGTGAAGGTCCGCTAAACTGTACTTCTCTTACATAAAAGTCAGAAAGAAGGCATTCTTAAAATAGATTTAAATCCGCATGTCTTGGAGAAAAGCGCAGCTGTGTCCATACTCATTTCCAATGTGTGCATGCGCGCTGCGTCCCAGACGCATCTGAGAAGTTGCAGGAGGTGGACCTGTCGCTCTGTGCACTTTCCCGAGGACAAGTCACACTTTGTTGCGCCCTCACGAGCCTGCTGTGATCACATGACTGCCAGAAGGAACTTGTCAGTACAGAGGACTTCATATTGTGATGTGTGATTTTCTGTGGAGATGAGCCACTAGCTGCTGTTCTCTGTGGCATGTTGCTGTCACCATGTCCACTACACTCTGATGAAATGTGAATGGGTTGTGTAGTAAATGTCTTATGATTGCCACACTGTTTCAACACTTCAGTGTTTAAAACATCAGAAATATTTATTATTAAAATGATGTTTTCACTTAAATTTAATTATTATAAACTAATACAAGACAGAATTATGAAAAACATTAAAGAAAATAATAAGAATAACATTTCCTGCAGTGGCAGTCGGAGATAAGTGAAATTTAACTATAAGCATTCTTTTATAATGCATTAAAGTGATTTTATTATTGTTGTTATTATTTAGTTTACAGGTGTTTTAACTCATTGGGTCGACCAAAACCTGAGAGAAATATCTTGTTAAAATTTATTGTAGACTTTTTGTGCAGTTTTGTTTATTTGCCACAAACAACAAATGTTAGACGGTACAGAGCTGTTGCTACCGTTATAATAATGTAAATAATAAACTTTATTTATATGGCTCATTTCATGTTATAAAGTGATTTACGAATGAAAAACTAAAACTAAAATCCAGCAAGTTAAAAGTACACTGAACACAGTACAATAAAATACCATAAAATAAGAAACAAAATAATGAATTGACAGTTGATTCTCAAGAGGAGGACATGGCATGATAGTGTTTGATTTGCCTTATGGGGCTCTTAAGATTTAAGCATCTGAACAACAGATTATGCAGCTGTTTCTCTGATTTTTAAGCTCAGATTGTGTGAACCCTGAACCTTTTTATCCAATGCAGCTACTGGTTTGTGCCAGTGTAAAATATCAGCACTTCCAAACAATGAATAGCCATTAGATGAATTCAGACAGCGCAGACAGCGACAGTACTTCACACTCCCTGCAGTCATCAAGGCTGCGTGGCAGAGACACAAAGATACAATCCGGCACATTCAGAAGTCTGAGTGGAGCAGTGTTGACCTCTCCTTTTGTTGAATTACACTTTTGTGTTCAGTGATCTGAATATCCAGGGTCAGCTTGCTTTGGTTGATATGAGTGAGTGGGCACAGATCAGGTGCAGAAATGGAGAGAGATTTAAAAGTTGTTGGTGATGATAGCTGTGGGGTCAGAAACATTGTGCTAAGACTAATTGAATGTTAATGTCTCAGCTGAAACAGCGCTGCTTTGATTGGTCTGTCCTTGATACTTAAAAGCAAGTGTCTTTTTAAAATGCTGACCCTGTTAGATTTTAGTTGATTATCTGTTTCGTTTCATTGACTTCTTTCAGATTTCAGACTTGGTCTTGACCTCATGTGCTTTGATTGCAAAGCAAGAAAGCAAACTGCTGCTCACCTCTGTTCATAAAAACACACCTGATAAACAGACTTTACCTCAAGTTTTGTTGGGTTGTCAGTGTTGCTGTATGTGCTCTTGCAGGAGATATGGTATAAGAGGTGTATCAGGACATGCATCTTGTGGTGTTACAATATATGACTGATCTTGTTCCTTTGATGGATTAGATTTTGGTTATCTTTGCTTTAACCACCCACATGTTATTGTCTTGATTTGCTTCCAAGTACATAGAAAATCATTCTGATATTTACTGAAATCCCGGGACTATTATGGCTTCTTTAGATATGACTAAATTTAAATTACGTCATACTCATGACCATTGAGTTTAACTGCTATCAAAATCTATAGGATCAGTCGGATGTATGTGCATGTGAACGATGGCTCTGAACAACAGTAGAGTCCAGTATCAGTAACTTATACCCCTCACAGTACAGGAGTTATTAATGGTGTAGAAGTGTAATTGTTTTTTATAAATGACCACATGGTGGCACTACATACTCCAAAACTATTTAGTTTTTTTTTTTTATTTAACTCTGTTAGGTAGTTTTTAGTTATCCTGCAGGAAGACCTTCATCTTTGAGCCCTTTCAAATGCCTAATTTGTACCAGCAGTGTGTTGTGAGATCCCCTCTAGCCCAGTTGATCAGGTTAACAATCACAATTTTCAGAATAAAAGTTGCTTGTGTGAACTTCCATCTGGACAGTGCATTTACTGCCTCCACAAGAGTTACTTCACCACTAAATCAAAGCCACAGGAAAGAGCTGATATCATTCCCAAACTAACAAACAGTTGTTTTAAAGCAATAATTATTATTTGGGCCTTTTTTTTAGAATTTCCGTCACACATTTGGATTACAATGCCAAAGGTTTGCCTTTATAT